CCCATGCGTTGAGACTAGAAACATTTTTTCCCTCGAAATTTTTTACATGTGGGGATTCATATATAATAAAAAATATATACATTTATTCTTATATATATTTTTATAAATATATTATCAATAAATTTTTATTCACCCAATCTAATTGAATAACTTAATCTAACTTAAATTGCTTAACCTAATTCCTGATCAAATTTTAGTATTTTCAAATCCAATTTAATAATCCAACTCAACCTAAACATTAATAACAATTTATATATTTTTTTTATAAATTTGTTATTGGATCTGTTGGAAGTATATAGCAAATATAGCATAGAGGTCATTTTTAATCTCCACAAAAAATTTTCATAAGGATCCCTATACCTATCAATAATAAGGATGGAGACAGGAGACCCCCCGTCCCGTCCCTATCCCCGTATCCATCCCCATTGTATTTTATAAATTTGAAATTAAAAACAGAGAAAAAAAAAAAAAAAAAGGGCTTTTCAGAGTACTCTCCATTCTCCTCGCTTGACGTACACGACCGGGCGGGAATCAGCAACCGCCAATATAACCAAAACATACAAGGGTAATTCCGTAATTTAAATTCTATCGTGAAGCTGACGCATGATCTTTCGTCCCTCTCTCTAGCCCCATCTACTTCATCACACCCACAGACAAGACTGAATCATCAGTACACCCCGAAACCGTTTCGAAGCTTCCATTACCATTACGTAATCCATAGAAGCTTCCATTGTATTCTCCAGGTGGAAGAGTAACAGATTTCGTCAACGAGAATAGGAAAAGGAAGAACCCAATTAGGGTTTCTGTGATCCAATACATGATCAGATTCTTCTGCGGCCAGATTTCCGGTCCCGGTTCAGGAAACGAACAGAGTTTCTAATTCCTTCGTTCTTCTTAGGCTATGGATTTTGACGGAGGGCACAAGCGTGTCTTCAGTCGACTTGGGGGCCCTTCGGGGGCAGCAGCAGCAGCAGCAGACAAAAATCAGAGAGTGTGTAGTTTTTGGAAGTCCGGGAAGTGCAACAGATTTCCCTGCCCATTCTTGCACCGCGAACTGCCTGCTTCCGGCCCTGCCACCACCAACGGATCGGGGGGAGCAAAGCGGTTTGCCGATGACCGGGGGTTCTCGGGGCCAACTTCTCGACGGGATCCCAACTTTAATAGTCATAATAATAGTTGGGGAAGGGTGGGGGGTAATAAGGTGGTTCGAAAGACGGAGAAACTGTGTAATTATTTTGTACAAGGGAGCTGTGATTACGGGGATAAGTGTAGGTTTTTGCATTCTTGGAGTTTGGGGGAGGGTTTTTCAATGTTGACCCAGCTTGAAGGGCACCAGAAAGTAAGTGGGTTTCTTGTTTTGTTTGTTTATATGGTGTTAATTTGTGAAATTTTGCAAATTTAACAGTGCTGGATTTATCTGTGGCTAGGTCGTTATTGGAATTGCCCTTCCATCAGGGTCTGATAAACTTTACACCGGGAGTAAAGATGAGACTGTGAGGGTCTGGGATTGTGCATCTGGTCAGGTGATTACTTCTTAAATTATCTTTTCTTCAACCCCAAATACAGTCAAGAAGAAGGTTTTAATTTTGAGATTAATAATTTATTGCTGATTCAGTTTCTGGTTGTTAATTTATATTCATATGCTGAGAAAGAAATTTTTTATTTGGATCATGTCCTTTTTAGAGTCATTCGGTCTGATTATGCATGTGATTTCAATCCATTCAAGTGAAAATTAAAGAGTTCCTTAATAGTAATCATGCTAAGTTTGTAATCTTACTGAAAGGGTAAATTCTAAGGGCGTACTGTGTAGCACCGATCAAAGCTATTAGTATAGTTTTCTTAGTACAGATGAGCCACTTATAATCATTAGATGGGTACATTTCTGTTTGCAAGGAAGCACTATATGTTGAAGGAATTGCTGGGCTCACCACCAGCTTGTAAATTTGGAAGACTGAACTAGAGTCACTTGTAAATAGGAAGTGCTGTGTGCGTTTGAGTCTCGAAGTTTTCCGTGGCAAATATCATTTAGAAACCAGACTCTTAAATTTGTTAGAAGCATACAAAGGCCCTTGGATGGTTATTCTGGTGACTTTCTTCTCATATATTAATTCTTTTCTAGATTGAACAAGTAATTTTGTATCTGATGAATTTCTGTTGTTCTTTCCCCTGTTAGTGTGTGGCTGTAGTTAATCTTGGTGGTGAAGTAGGTTGCATTATTAGTGAAGGCCCTTGGTTGTTTGTTGGCATGCCAAATTTTGTTAAGGTAAGGTTGGACTCATATTCTGTATCGGTTGCTTCAATGCTTGTTTTGTCATGCATGCATTCTTCGTTTTATGATAAGTACAGTGGTTTTGTCATTGCTGAGCTCTGCAACATTGGTATTACAGGCATGGAATACTCAGACTAATGCTGACCTTAGCCTTAGTGGACCTGTTGGGCAAGTATATGCTTTGGCCATTGGTAATGATTTGCTCTTTGCTGGTACACAGGTAATCCTTTTAGCAGTACTGCAGCAGTGTTAGAATCTTATATTTGCACTGCAAATTTAGTCAAACTGTTTTATCATTATATTCCCTATGGTGCATTTTGTGACATTTAGGACTGCCAAAGTGGGTGATGTCAGGTCTATGTTGTTCTGGAAGTTATATATATAAATCCTCACATACCTAGAACGAATTACATTGCCTGCTGTTGATTTTTCTTACAATTATGCATTTGATAAGCAGAGCTCTAAGCTTTCAAGGTCAAAATTTTCATATAGAAGCCCGTGCATGTCTTCATGTTGTGTTGTATCCATCTTTCCTTTTGATACTATATTCCTGATCATATGCAATGTGTTGGTGCAGGATGGGACAATTTTAGCATGGAAATTTAATGTTGCCACCAACTGCTTTGAACCAGCAGCATCTCTTAAAGGTCACACCCTAGCAGTTGTTTCTTTAGTTGTTGGGGGAAGTAGGCTGTACTCTGGCTCTATGGATCATTCTATAAGGGTAAGCTAGTTTTAGTTAAAACACGTCTTCTAATATTTTCAATTTGAGAACCTTTTTTGTTTCTAAAAGCACTTTATTTTTTTCCAATTTTTTTAATGTTAAAATGTTATTGTTAGACTAATTTGCTATTTTACTCTGATTTTCTCAAGGTTTGGAGCCTTGAAACTTTGCAGTGTTTACAGACATTGACAGAGCATACTTCAGTTGTTATGTCACTTCTTTGCTGGGAGCAATTTCTATTATCATGTTCACTGGACCAAACTATAAAGGTTAACCACAAATTTGTCTATATTATTATATCTAAAATTTTCACTTTAAAAAAAATAAAATAAAATTTACACCATAGTTGAAGTTGTTTAAATTTATCTTTTTGTGCAGGTGTGGATGGCTGCAGAAAGTGGAAATTTGGAAGTAACTTATACTCACAATGAAGAACATGTACGTCTTTTTAAAATGAAATGTACTCTGAGCTGGATTTTTTGTTATGCAGATTAGTCATACAAATATCTATCAGCAAGTAGCTACTACTAGCATCAAAACTTGATAGTAGATATGGATGGTATTTGCAACTTTCCAATTTCAATAGGTTTAGCAAAATATGCAGTTTAAGTCCTATTTTATTTTCTGCTAGTTATAAGCATGGTTGTTAGGTGCTTCTTTTTGTGTGCTTTATTGCAAGTAATGTAATTCTAGTTAATGCAAGTTTGAATTTTGGATAAATTTAGAATCTACATGTTTTGACCTTCTAGGTTTAAGTAGGATGAGACTAAAACCCTTTTGAAGATAGATAGGGACTGAATTATGTGTTGTTTTCTTGGAATTGAAAAGCTTTGAATTTGAGTATCTTTCAAGTGGAGAAAAGGAATGGAGTTCTGGAATCCTGGGAAATTTTTTAGATTTTATCAACATTATTTTGCTGGCCTAACTAAGGCTTACTAATGCTTGATTAATGTCAACTTATAATCTTAGGTTGGCCAGATTGGAGCTTTTCTCATCAAAGGGTTTTTACTTTTATCATATACGGGTATTTTGTAAGTTATGTGACTGAAGTAATAAACATTTAATAGGGTTTCTGCCAGAATTAGTGGCAGAAGTAGGATTTTGGCTGTTTAACTGAGAGTTTCAGTGGTTGAATCAGTGGCAAATAAATACTAATAGATTCTTTTTTCTGGTTTAGTTAGATTGAAGATCATCCATGACAAAGGGGTTTATTTTTTATAGTTCCTTCTCTTACACACAATGATGCCCATCTTCAGTTTGATTATGTGGACTATTAATGGTTAATAATGGAGGTGCTTTGTGCAGGGCCTGCTTACCCTATGCGGAACACCCGACTTGGAAGGCAAACCAGTCTTGCTATGTGCATGCAATGACAACTCTGTCCGACTTTATGATTTGCCATCGTAAGTTCCACGACTTTGTGTGTTCTTAATTAAGATCCTGGCCTTCCAGCATTCTAACTTCTTTCACCTTTCTACCATGGATAAAGGTTTTCAGAGAGGGGCAAAATTTTTGCTAAACAGGAGATTCGCGCCATTGAAGTGGGACCTGGTGGCTTGTTTTTCACCGGTGATGGAACAGGCCAAGTTAGAGTATGGAAGTGGTCAGTGGAATCAGCTACCACATCCTGATTCAGAGCAAAATTTTACAACATAGGCATCCATTTGTATTTTTGTTCCCCGATTATTCTATTTCTTTTCCATCATTCTCGAGTTGTTTCATGTTTGAGAAGAGCCAATTTTGGTTTCCTAGCCGTTAGCCATACGTGTTCTTACTTCTTAGCCCCCGGGAAAGCTCCCATGTCATCTTACTGTTTCATTGGGAAAGACCATATGCTGAAACAAAAATAATTTTTTTTCATGAGAATCATGGAAAGTCATTGTTGCTAAGACTCACGTGTTTGCCTGAATTTTGCCCTTTAAACTTACAAAGATATGTTCCGTAGAGTATGTTTAGTGTAAGATAAATGAAAAAAAATAGAGGAACAAAAAAGGTGGTGCACGAGATTAAAGAAAATTGGGACATTTTGGTATTTAAAATAATGAAAATGTTAAAATATTAAATTAATAAATTAACATTAAAAAAAAATTGTATTTGAATATGGATTCTTTAATTTTATTATCAATTGATCTTAGCGAAAAGGCCGAGAAAGGTTCTCTACTAATTCTGGCAGCCAAAATCAAATGTTCATTGGCTTTACATGTTTGCCACTAATTCTGGCAGAAACCCTATTAAATGTTCATTCAGATTTCCGCTGTGGGTGAGACTTCCATTCATTCACTCACAGCAGCTTCTCCCCTTTCATTGTCAGCCTATCTCTGATTTCACTTTTATTGGATTTTCTCCTCTTTCAACAGCAATTTCACTTGTATGAATTTTTGAAAATTTGAATTTTAATGTTTAATTAAATGGTACCATAGTTTTATTATGAGTTTTAGTTGAAAAATCTGATGTAAAAGATGTTAAATATGACATATTTAGAGTAATTTTTTGGAAAATTGAAATTTTTTTATCTTAAATATTTGTTAATAACAAAAACTTATATATTCTTTTATATGGTATAAAATTGGTATGAGTAGATAGTTCACTTCCTAAGCTTTCTTTTGATATATTACATGCTTAAAATGATTTAGAAATGAGTGAGATATAAAGCCTAAAAGATTAGTGTTCAATGGGGTAATCTGGTCAATAAAAAAGATAAAAAGAAAAGCTGTGGAGTGAACCTTAATGATTCTTAACATCTTTTTTTTCAGATTTCATAAGGGAAGAAATTCATCTATTACCTGTTTTTTCATTCATAATTATTCTTAATTTTGGTAGATTGATTCTTGATATTTTAGAATAGTGCAATAGAGTTCCCCCATTATTCAAATTTTGAGGAAAAGAGCACTACATTCTAAGAACTTTTTGAGATTCCTGTATAAGTCTCTAAATCAAAAAAATATTACTTATGTGCTTTTAAAATTTTGAGATAATTTAAACAATTATTCAAACATTTTAAAATAAAAAATATAAATAATTTGTTGTATCAATAAAATAGAGACTCAATTTAAATTATAATTAGAAGAGGATTTAATTTATTAGAAATTTAAATTTAAATGTACAACATTCAATATCATCAAATAATATATTTAAAAATACATGTATTTCAAGTTATTATTTTTTAAATAGTATAATTTTAAAATACATATATTTAAAATATATATCTCAAATACAAATATGTATCTATGGATATTTAAAATATTAAAATATTCTAATTTTCACTGTTCTCTTTAACTAATTAAATTATAACATTTGCTAATAACTTGTTTTCATATAAGCCTAAACTAACGAAATGCAGATCTTTTAAGAAAGAACAAGTAAAATACAAATACTTAAATATATATATGCCGAAGTAGAAGATCATGTTATGCATTTATTAAATTAAAAGGTCTATATAAAATAGATGCAGACATCCTAAAACTATGCTTCGACTTTACTTTATTTTCGTTAACGTTGCTTCATCATGATGGGGGTGAAGTCTAAACACATGAGCAGTTTGCTTCGCTAAGATGGTGAGAACTCAGAGATTAAACATGACTTTAATAGCAGTACCACCACGAGCACTGGTCTCAAAGGCTTCTTCCACCTCCTTCTGAGAGAATCCAAACCTATGGGTTATCAGACGCTTCACGTCGATCCTTCCACTGCTTATCAACTCCAGGCACAGCGGCCATGTGTTCTGATAACGGAAGATTCCAATCACATCAACCTCCCTGTTTTTGAAGAAAATTATTAACCATTTAGTCAATCAAGTATGGAACAAATAAGAAAATGTGGAACACACATAATTGTATAACCCAAATTTTTTTCAATGTATGATTAAATTAAGCACCTTGCAGCCGCTGGAGTCAGGGGAATACTCATCTCATTGTGGCCCATCCCTACGAGGCAGACTTTGCCACCAGTACGAGTTGCACCCAAAGCAGTTGACATGGTCTTGTTAAAGCCTGCACAATCAAAGGTTACATCCACTCCTGCCCCCATAGCTTTCGTTATCTTTTCCACTTCTTCAGGTATATCCTGAAAATTTAAATGAACAGAAGATTGATGAAAAGGAATCCCAAGATAATTTTTCTTGTGAAATAGAGACATACATGAAACCTTCTCAAAACAATCTCCCACTCCACACACCCAACACCTCAAAAGTATATGAGTTTACTGTTTTACAATTGAAATACTACTCTAGGGACTTTTTAACGATGAGAAAATTAGTTCATATTTTGTAATTTAATATAATCTGAACCGTAAAATAATTTTTCAAAAATATATATAAGCAGAAGTTACAGAGATTTCCAAGCAGAAATATGAGGACAAACACTGAGAAGTCAAACTAACCCTCCAAAAAAAAAAATAAATAAATAAATAAATAAGAGAAAAAAAATGTCCTGTATGAGGTGAACTTGAAATTGAAGTAGTCCGTAGCATAAATTGAGGTTTTAAATAAGGGTTATTAAAGGACAGTGAATTGAAAATAAAGTTATGGGATGATTTGCTAAACGAAAGGGAAAAGATTTTAAGACATTACAGACCTGCATGTTTGTTGAAGCTTTGACAACGTCATCTGCACCAAGACCCTTGGCAACAGATAATCGATAATCATCAACATCAACCATGACGATTCTAGGTGCACCAAAAGCACGAGCTGCCAGCATTGTGACAAGTCCTATGGGTCCTGCTCCCACGATCAAGACGTTTGTATCTAGACCAACATTAGCTTTGCGACAGGCATAAACCCCAACACTTAAGGGCTCGCACAGAGCCCCCTCCTCCAAGGTCATATTGTCTGGCAGTTTGAAACACAGGTTTGCAGGATGCACCACCTACATTAAAAATTCAACTTAAAGGATGAGATGAATTCAGTGGAGTCAAATTTTTGGGACAAATGCTTTTAAGTTGTTAGGTAAGTGGTGGTTTTCCGTCTCATCATTTTAGGTATAAACCATGTTAAACTGAAACTAAAATACAGCTTATGTACAAACCTGATTAGCAAGAGAGCCATGAACTGGTGGAGTGGCAAAAAATTTCACATCGGGGCACAGATTGTATCGGCCTTCCTTGCAACGATCACATTGCCAGCAGGTGATCTGTGGTTCCAGTGCCACCCGATCACCAGGAACCAGATTCTTCACCTCACTTCCAACCTCGTCTATGATCCCAGCACACTCGTGCCCAATCACCATAGGCTCTTTCACCACAAAACCTGCACAGCTCATATGCTAAAGGTACACAAGTCAAATGGTGGGATTTCCTATTTTAATTTATCTCATCCTGAATAAAATTTTATCTTTATTTTGATTTCCAAATAAATCGAGACATACAATCCAAAAGAAAGTCTTAATTATAGCTGTATAATGTCTCTGAGAGGATGTTAGCAATTGAAATGCTAATAAACAAGATACAAAATTCAGATCAATTTTTGTTTTGGCATAGTATCAACAACCAAGAGTAGTTAAATTAAACTATCAAAGGCTAGAAATCTTATCATTTAACATTTGGTTTGATGCAAAGTGGAAAAAAGAAAAAGGCCAGAAGAAAGGTGGCACCTTGAGGTAATGAACATCACTTCCACAGATACCAACAGCTTTCATACTAACTCTAACGTCATAGGGACCTGAAAATGTCAAAGTGAACTCAAATTGACATAATCAATACTCCATGAAACATGAAACATAGAGGGCAAAAGGGTATCTAAAACAATAGTCAAATTAAAGAAAAGAAAAAAAACTGACTCTGAACACCCAAGAAGAAAAACATGAGTTTGTAAGTGATCATTGTGGATATGATGAAACAAAGAAGAAAGTATGATGAGGTGAGTACCAAGGGAAGGGAGCTTGAACGGTTGGATCTTGAGGGTGTTAATGCCAAGAAGCCAAGCAGCCATGTTCTCCTCATTTCCAGCTTCTACACGAGACATCCCTCCTTTACCCATATCTTCCTGCTCTCCTAAATTGGGCAAGAGCAAAACACTCACTAACAGGCTATTGGCTATTGCAGAGAAGTATTTGTGAAACAATAATGGTTATATTGATTTCATAGAAATATATACAAGAGTACAGAGCTAGTCAACAGTACAAAGATGGAAACTAAATCAGTGCAAATCAAATCAGAATTAAATGGAGAATCAATCTGGCTCAATCCAAATTAATATAGCTTTGATTACTTTTCCTAATATGTGGAAATTGGGCATGTCATTTTGGCATCCAACCTAAAATTAATAATTAATAGGAATATATTTGTTTGTTATTTTTCACTTAACATGTCCTTTGAGTGTAAGGATATGCTTTGTTATTTTCTTTATTTAAGGTTATCATAATTCCATTATTCTATTATAAAAAAAAATATCTCTTTATCCTTATCTCTTTTTAAAGAGATAAATAGATAAGAACATAAATTGTTTTAAATTTTTAATTTTAAAATTAAAGCTATTGATATACCAAAATATTCAAATGAAGTGAGATAGATTACCTAAATTTGAAATCAAAGGGCCAGTTAAGTATGTAGCAGGTGTTCAACTTTCACAAAAAAATATGATTACTATATACTTTAAAATTGAGATATATTAATTATTTTTTCTTGAAAAAAAAAATCCCCTAATTGGAAATGAATTTTTATTTTTACCCTTTTTATATTGATCAAAGAGATGAACCTAGCAACCAAAACGATAAAACAAAAGAAAAGAAATTGCAAACTGTCCACTGCCTGTGTTTAAAACCGTATACCCTCATTTAGATGTTAAACCTCAACTAATTACATAAACTTTTACTAATTACATAAACTTTTAAATCAAGCAATTACAGCAAGAAACATTTCAATCTCACAAACAAAATCCAAATGGATTCAAATGAGGCTCGGACACTGCAGGAAAGAATCAATTAACTCATTATCAAAATCATCATGAGCATGCTTTTGAAAAGATTAACGTTGCAACTAAACTATATCATTGTAGTTTGATGATCTCAAAAAACACACAAGACCCCAATATCTCAAACAACTTAGATATGCTCAAATAGAAAAGAAAAATTCATGACCAACACATGGGAAAAAGCAAACTAAAATACAATAAAATCAACACCAAATAAAACAGGAATTGCTTGAATTACACAAACTAATAAATTGAAAATCAAAGAGAAAGGTATCTGGAAACGGATAAATATCAATATTAACTTTAATTTGGGATTTCAAAGATCAATTACAAAGTTTTTTCGCCTTCGATCTCTCCCAGGCCTCTCTTTTTCTCCCGAAGACTCTTTCCTTTCTCAACTTTCTGTATTTTTCCCTTGGACCAAAACCCCTTTTATATAGAAAAGAAAAATAAAAAAAATCCTCCCCTTACACGATAAACCAAAACCCCAATCCTCTATCCCAAAAATACAGATAAAAGTCCAATTCGAATTGAACTAATTTGAATTGAAGTATATCCTAGAAATAAAATTGAGTTTCTGCATCCTTCCGCTTTAAAAGGCCAGGTTTATAGCTTTGTAGATTGGGCTTACAACTTTTTGAATCAATTTTGGATTTGTTTGACTTGCAGATCTCCTCCGATTCTTTCAATTGGTTGGTTCTAGCTCCGAAAACCGCTCCATTTGATTATCATCAAGTGGATCGGATGAAGTTTGGGAAACAGGAGCAGCAATTATGTTGGGATATGATATAGGATAATATTTTTATATCATTTTTTATATAATTTTTATATATTATTAAATAGATAGATGTATATGTATCAAAAAAAAAAAAATAGATACATTCAATATCACGAATTTCAAATGAATAAAAAGAATCAATAATTAAATAACACATAAGGTTGTAAAAAAAATAATATAAAAAGATTATTCCTAATTTATTTTCCATTCTATTAGATCAGTTGGATATAATAGATAAAATTCAATGAATAACAAATAGTGGTAGTGGTAGCAAGTAATGAATAATGATTAGCAGATAATGGACATCAAATGACAGAAAGCGAGCAACATATAATATATAATGAATTCAATTGATATAATTGTTTAGTTATATAATAATTAATAATTATTTTTTAATGTTAAATGATTAATAAAAATATATTTAAAAATAATTAAATGTATTTGTCTTTTTATATTTTTTATTATGGAAATTATTAATTTTATAAAAATAATAGTAAAAAAATAAATTATAATAATGTAATTATACATTAATTTTTGTATTTGTCTTTTTATATTCTTTATTATGGAAATTATTAAATTTATAAAAATAATAGTAAAAAAATAAATTATAATAATGTAATTATACATTAATTTTTATTTTTAATAAAGAAAAAAATTATATTATTTTAAAATAAAGTATAAAAAGATTTTAATCTTTTCACCTAATTAGTAAATTTTGTTTATTAAATTAATTTATTTTCTAGATAAATTAATGTAAAAATAAAAAATATAATAATCACTTAATGTTATAAAAAACAAAAAAAAAGTTGAAATTAATTAGATAAGTTTTAATTAAGAATTATAACTAAAAATTAAAAAATTAAAAAATATAAATTTATCAATAAAATTAAAAATTCTAATTTACTAATAGTTTTATACAAAAAGCATCTTAAACAGTTTTTTCAATTTTGTTAGTAATTTAGATCATAATTACTATCCATTAATTTCAAATTATCAAATAACAATTTAACAAAATGCTTAATTTATATCAATTTTAAAATAAACAAATTTACTAAATATCTATTTTTAATAATTTAGATAAAACTGTTACTTACTACTCTAAACTATCATATCAAACAGGGCTTATACTCAGACGGGGATTGTAAGAGCTTCCAAAGGCATGAACCGTGCCTTTATTTTGATATCACCCCAGAAATAAAACGACGCTGGTTTATGGATTTATTTCTGATCCTCATTTTCTGTGCATTCGTCAATTTAGTCCCCTGGTTGTTTTTTCTTCAATTTAATCCCAATCAAGATCAGGTTATGACGAAAGTAAAAAAAACGTCTATTATTTATTCCTGGACGGAGGGAGTATTTGTATATCAAATTTTTAGACATAATAATACTAATATAATAGCGATTTGTTTATTCGGTACAAAATAAAAAGTAATTATTCAAAATTAATGATTGTAACTTTTTTAATAAAAAGAAGTAAAATTTTAAATTTAAAAAGATAACTTCTAATTTTTAATTTAAAATGGAGCAATAAAAAACTAATGTAAAACATTTACACCAATAATTTAAGCAATTAAGTAGTTATTTTTTTCATTAGAAATAAAAGATTTTAAGTTCGAGTTACATGGTATACAGGTGTAGTAAGATAAAGGATGAGAGATTATTGCTTATTGTGCAACCAAAATAAAAAAAAAAATGTATAACATTTACAATTAAAACAAAAGTTAACTTTTTTTCTTTTCAAAACAAAAAAATAATAATTATTTTTAATAAAAAATAATAATTATTTTTAATAAAAAATAATAATTATTTTTAATAAAAAATAATAATTATTACTCAACAATTACTTTTTATTTGTGTGACTAAACTTTAAAAATACAGAATAGATAAACTGATATAATAATTATAGAGATGAGTTATTAATACTAGTTAACTTACTATGATTCAAAAGCATCCGAAAAATATAATAAGATTCAAATAATTTTATCTTAATATTTATAAATAATTTAATTAACATGGGCTTAAATATAAATTACAAGGC